ACACCACCGAGGAGCTCGACGGACCTATCTCAAATACGCACCAAATGCCCTAATGTCTATGCCGTTGGACCCATCAATGCACAGTTGAACACCAGACTCAAGGCAAAACATGGAGAATCATACCATCCCTTTTTAAATACCCTTTGGGAAGTTGATAGGAAATGCATTTCTTGGCTCGACCAGCAACCGAATCGATGCGTTATCTATGTGAGTTTCGGTAGCATTACGACCACGTCAAGGGAGCAACTCGTTGAGCTTTGGAGTGGACTTCTTAATAGTTAAACGAAGCTCTTGTGTGTTGTAAGGCCGAATTCCGTGATCGGGAAAGATGTCGACGGGGAGGATATGTTGAGGGAGCTTTCCGAGAAGATCAAGGATCAAGGCTACATTGTCAATTAGGCACCGCAAGAGGAGGTCTTGAACCATCCGGCCATAGGCGGGTTCCTGACACATAGCGGATAGAACTCAACTTTGGAGAGCGTCGTTGCCGGGGTGCCAATGATTTGTTGGCCGTACTTTGCGGAGCAACACTTGAACAGTAGGGTTGTGAGTGAGGTGTGGAAGATTGGGTTGGACATGAAGGATGTGTGCCATAGGAAGATCGTGGAGAAGATGGTGAAGGATGTGATGGTGGATCGAAAGGAGGAGTTTGCCAAATCAGCCGCTGAAATGGCTAAGCTTACCAATCAATGTGTCAATGTTGGTGGCTCTTCTTATATTAATTTGGACCGTCTAATCGAAGCTATTAGAGAAATGAGCTTGAATTCATCAAGTAAACATTCATCAATGTGTCACTTTTGTCCCAAATTTTGTTACTTATTACTATTGCTATCTAATACACAAGGGTTAATAGCTTTAAATAAGCCATTATAATTCTAATTATTTTTCTTATTTTATAACCTTTTAATCAAATTTAACAAATTTAGTCGTTTATCATCAACGATGAACTATAGACGATCAATCTTTTTACGCTTATATATAAAATAAGTGTCTAAACTATAACGTTTTCACGAATAAGTGTTTAAACTATTTTTTGAATGATCTTGGTGCATAATGTTACAAATGTTATCACTTTAAGTGTCTGGGCTATTAACGACGTTAATTTCTTCCGTTAAGTGACACGTATCACAATCCGGTAATTTTGAAATGTATTTTTTTTAAATATTAAAATTGTTATTATATTTATTAAAAAACCCTAATTTCTCTTAAATCCCAAAAACCCCCAAAACCCCCAAAATCTAAGCCTAACCCACTGTTGATGCCCTTTTCGACCACTACCATCGTCGTCGATGTAGTCCCTGCCATCCTCCTATTCATATGCCGTTGTAGTCGTCGCCGATTAGCCGTCAGAATCGTGTGGGATTCTAATTTTCATAATAGGTTTCGCGAGGTATAAAACGTCGATCGGTCATGATTTCTTAGGGGTTTCGGTTGTCGGGGGAGATAAGGTCGGGTGTAGTTTCATCGATGGAAAAGGGCGGCTGTCGGCGTGGGTTTAGGGGTTGAAATGAAGGTTTTCAAAGTTTTAGTGTTATTTTGAAATTTCTGTGTTTTTTAGAATACAATTTTATTTTAAAAATTTTATATAAAACTTTTAAAATTAACAAACTGTGACATGTGTCACTTAACAGTGAAAATTAACGCCATTGACGGCCCAGGAACCTAAAGTTGTAACGTTTGTAACGTTATGTACCAGGATCATTCAAAAAATAGTTTAGCCACCTATTCGTAAAAAACGCTATAATTTGGGCACTTATTTTGTATTCAATCCATCTTTTTATCTCATCTTATTTCTTCTTTCACAATCTTCTCTTTCCCATTGGTTATTTTTCATTTCTTTTTCTAAAATTCATTTGCATATATGAGATAAAGGAGATAGAAGAGTGTAAAGTATTTGTATATTGATGTTGATCATTGTATTCGACTCTGGGTCTGGTGATATAGAAGATACAATAATGGTTTATTATTTTCATGGTTGGAGCTCATGAGGGGATAATGGTAGAATGGTCGGGAAAATGACGTTATGAATAGAGTAAATCGAGTCATATAGATTATCTCGATAATGAGTCTTTGTGATATTCAATCCAGATTAATCAGTTAATAAATCAAATATCGATAGTTATCTTAAAAAAATACTTTCATACAAATTCAAATATTTAATCAATGATAAATTTATATTTAAAAAGTTAAAAGACTAAATTGCAAATCAAAACTAAAGTCAAGGGCAAAAGAAGAAAGTCAGAGGCTAAATAACGTTAGGCACCAAAAGAGACATTATCCCTATATGATTTATAACCATTTATAACAAACATCTACCGGTTCACTCAATTAAGTCAAACGATAACAATATATATATGGTTTAATACACAGTTTGGCCCCTAAATTATAACTTTTTTTCCACTTTGGTACCCAAAGTATTAAACCTATACGAAACGATCCGGATGTCGCAACACAAATGGTACGAACTACTTTGATTAACACCCTTTGAAAAAAGCGTACGCTGTTTTGTTCACATTAACTTACAAGAATGAAGAACACAACCAAAAAATATATAACAAATATAACTCGTACACATGATCTTACTACAACCAGTAGTTCATTGTCATAAAAAATCTACTCAAGCGACGGTATATCGCGGAGGATTTTGTCGCATTTTGGTCCCGTTCTAGTATGTCGACGATTGTTTCGATGTAATTTGATGACCTTTTCGGTTCCCTGAGCTCTCTGTATTGTTAGTAGAGTTCTTCAGGATTGATGAACTATCCGTTGTTGGATTGCTGCATATCTTCGGTTTCGAATCGCCTCCGAGATAGTTTGTCAAGACCCTCTTCACTCCGAAGCCTCGACGATGAGGCTTGATGATGATGTTGTTGTTATTGTTGGCATTGTTGTTGTTGTTCTCCTTGAGAAAAGGAGTTCTTTCTCCCCCTGCAGGGCTGATCAGTGGCGCGGTTGAAAAGCTCGGCGTCGAGGTGATAGATGTTTTGTACTTATATATCAAGTCTCCTAGACGAGCTCTACCATTCTGCAGGAACATTTCGAGATAGATCAAACACAGTTCATGAACATAAAACACGACAACACATCGGACTAGGTCGGAGTTTTCGGACCTTCGGAAGCGTGTCCAAGTACGAATCCGGAACTTCAATTTCAGATAGAGTGATGCTGTTGATAGCCATAGCAGCTTTCAATATCTGACTGGTGCACTCCCTAGTGTGGTTCAATTGCTTTCTCGAATCATCACCGAGACCACCGGCGGGCACACAGGGCACAGGTAGCCACCACTTCTCCTCCTGGCGCTGCATCGTTTGTCGAAACGAGGCCATACCGTTAGCCTCTGGCGCTACGATCCCTTGATCAACAAACCAGAACTCAGTGCTTGTGGAACTATCTAGTATATCCTGCACCACCAAATGCCAGCTTATATAGTTAGAAACATAACTTTCCCCCAAAATTAACACAACCATGAATCATAAATCAACCATTGTAAGTTCTTACCAGAAGCATGTTGTCGAGTTTTCGATGCTCGGCGAGATTAATGAAAAGATCTGATCTAGGCCTGCAAGTCATCACCTATGGAAAATCACAGATAAACAGTTTGAAATACAAGAAACTTCAAATTGGTGAGTTTCATAGCTAAAATCAACAAACCACCCCAATTTATCACCATCCAAAAGATTAAAATATGCATTTTCCCCATGATTTTCTCAGTAAACAAACAGGATCAAAGATGAAAATTACCTCAAGCTTGCTTCCATCTGGGAAACTTTGCCAAGAAGGTGTGTACTCAACAATGTGGTCACTAACAAAAACAAGCCACTAAATTAAGCTAAAAAATGGTGCATTCCTAAAGTTCAAATAACAAGATAAATACTTTAAAATCTTGTACGTCTACTCGTATCCATTAAGAACGACAGTAGTAGGATTTGAACTCGATTCTACAACTCAAATTCTTAAATTCTAACCACTTGTATCAATACTCGCTGGCAATTCGTTCGGAATGATTTCTTACCGCTTGTACGTTATTCAATTATTCATGAAGCTTTGATAAAAGGGATAATTTCTTACCTGATTCCTCGTATTTTTCTTCTATTCAATTTCAATCTTATATGCATATTTTAATTCTAATTTGATTCTAAAGGGTTTATTTTTTATGATTTAATCGGAAATTATTCTGATTCTAAAGGGTTTATTTCAATTATTTTTTTTTGAATTGTTGATGCAGAATCTGAAAGGGTTAATTTACCTTTAGGCCTTGACTTTAGCTTTGATCTGTAATTTGGCCCTAACTTTTTTGTGCAATTCGGCCCTTTACTTTGTCTTTGAATTGTAATTTGACCCAACTTTATGGGGTGTAACTTGACCTTGACTTTTTTTACAATTTTAAAACAATAATTAAAATTTTTATTAAGAAATTAAAAAATACATTAAGATTTATATTTCAAATTTAAATTAAATACATATCGTTTTATGATCTATGTCGGGATTAAAATCTGTTCCTCCTAATAATGTAGTCATTAAGGTTAAAACTTACGTCATCTCTTTAGGGATGTAACGTGTCTTACTAGTACACTCGACACTTAAGAAAGATTAAAGATTTGAATCTTGACATTAAGAATAGAACAAATTGGGTTGTGAGGATCGTCTAATAACGAGGCTTTGTAATATCCAATCCATATTGACCAACTAATAGATCAGATACCGATAGTTACACTAAAAAATACTTTTATACAAAGTCAAATATTTAGTCAATGATAAATTTATATTTAAAAGGTTAGAGACTAAATTGCAAATCAAAAATAAAGTCAGGGTCCCAAAAAAGAAAGTCATAGACTAAAAAAAGTTTAGGCACCAAAAGAGACAATATCCCTATATGATTTATAACCATTTGTAACAAATATCTATTGGTTCAATTACACTTGACATGTTAGCAATTTAGCACACAACGCTCAAATAGTCAATATCGTGTATATATATATCTATGGTTTAATACACAGTTTAGCCCCTAAATTATACCTTCTTCTCCACTTTGGTACTAAAGTATTAAACCTATACGAAACGATCCCAATATCGCAACACAAATGATACGAACTACTTTGATTACAAGAATGAAGAACACAATCAAAAAATATATAATAAATATAACTCATACACATGATCTTACTACAACCAGTAGTTTACTGTCATAAAAAATCTACTCAAGTGACGGTATATCGCGGAGGATTTTGTCGCATTTTGGTCCCGTTCTGGTATGCCGACGATTGTTTCGATGTAATTTGATGACCCTTTTGATTCCCTGAGTTCTCTGTATTGTTAGTAGAGTTCTTCAGGATTGATGAACTATCCGTTGTTGGATTACTGCATATCTTCGGTTTCGAATCGCCTCCGAGATAGTTTGTCAACACCCTCTTCACTCCGAACCCTCGGCGATGCGGCCTGATGATGATGTTATTGTTCGTTGTGGTGGTGTTGTTCTGCTTGAGAAAAGGAGTTCTTTCTCCCCCTGCAGGGCTGATCAGTGGCGCGGTTGAAAAGCTCGGCGTCGAGGTGACAGATGTTTTGTAGGGAGTGTTCAAGACCGGTACCGAATACGGGATGGAAACCGTTTTGTGTGCGATTACACTAACCGTAGGAACCGATGACAGCCTATCCGAATGTTTCGTTAAGTCGTCGACGTATAACAAATCGTCGATGCGTGCAACAATGTTGTATGCTAGGCTTTCAAGAACTCTCGAATAGCTTTCGAGAATGGACTTTCCGACATCCTGCGAGTTCGAAAACAAGGTACAGAATTAAGATACATTCAAAGGTATAACAATGAAGCAGGTGTCGGATTTCGAATTTCGAATTTCGGACCTTGTTGCACTGGATTTTGCTGGTATCCAATGTAGTTTGAGTCAGAGCTGGGAATCGTTGCTTCAAGCAAAGCAATAGGCTTTCAGCTCTTTCTGCTAGAAACTCCCTCTTGTCTCCATCAACCATAAGGTCCTTCACCATTTCCCATGACGATTTCGTAGTGTATCGGTTCGGAGTAATCAGGGGCTTCGAATGAGATCTTCGACGCCACACGTATATTGCGGCTTCGACGCGGTTCGCAATCTCGAGCGCAACATGTTCCGACGATAGATCAAGGAAATCGAGCAGGCACTCAGCTGAGAATTGATCCGAGGTAATGTACCTATAAATCAGGTCTCCTAGACAAGCTCTACCATTCTGCAGCAACATTTCAAGAGAGATCAGACACAGTTCTTGAACATAAAACACGATAACACATTGGACTAGGTCGGAAAATTTTCGGACCTTCGGAAGCGCGTCCAAGTACGAATCCGGAACTTCGATTTCCGACAGAGTGATGCTGTTGATAGCCATAGCAGCTTTCAATAACTGACTGGTACACTCCCTATTGTGGTTCAATTGCTTTCTCGAATCATCACTGAGACCACCGGCGGGCACACGGGGCACGGGTAGCCACCACTTCTCCTCCTGGCGCTGCAGCGTTTGCCGAAAGGAGGCCGAACCGTCAGCCTCAGGCGCTACGATCCCTTGATCAACATACCAGAACTCAGTGCTTGTGAAACTATCTAGTATATCCTGCACCACCAAAAGCCAGCTTATATAGTTAGAAACATAACTTTTCCCCAAAATTAAAACAGCCATGAATCATAAATCAACCATTGTAAGTTCTTACCAGAAGCATGTTGTCGAGTTTTCGAAGCGCGGCGAGATTGATGAAAAGATCTGATCTAGGCCTGCAAGTCATCACCTATGGAAAATCACAGAATAAACAGTTCAAAAACACAAGAAACTTCAAGTTGGTGAGTTTCATAGCTAAAAACAGCAAACCACACCAATTGATCACCATCCAAAAGATCAAAAGATGCCTTTTTTTTCCTCATGATTTTCTCAGGAAACAAACAGGATCAAAGATGAAAATTACCTCAAGCTTGCTTCCATCTGGGAAATTTTGCCAAGAAGGTATGAACTCAACAATGTGGTCACTAACACAAACAAGCCACTCCATCTCTCTTTTCCACATGGATTTTTTCTCATCAGAAATAGGCTCCAAACTCCATAATTGCCCAAAAATAGTAGCTGCAAATAGGATTTTTTTTCTTCAAATTTCAGTCCTCAGATAAACAAAAAAAATCAAATTTGAACCAAAAAATCCATAATTTCATAATATACCACAAAGATTGGTAATGGCATTTGAAATAGCCAAAGCTGTGCAAACCCCTTTGCCAGAACCTGACATATCTTCACCAAGCAACAACTTGGCAAACCTTTCCTTCATCAAATCAATCTCTAAAAAATCCCCCCCAAAAAAAAGAAGAATTAGACAAGAAAAATTCTATCATTTGGTCTAAGAAACCAAAAACCAAACAATTTGAACACAAACCATTGATCTTTGAAGCCAATTTTTTGAACTTTTCATCTTCCTTACTAACTTCATCTTCATCTCCATCTCCATTTGGGGCATCCTTTGACACTGAAGGAGTAGCAGTGATAGCTCTCCTTATAGGCCAACCCAAGAGAGTAGGTGAACCTGAAGCAGACCCTTTTTTCCCAGAACTTGAGCCACTTGAATTTCTACTCGTAGTGCTACTCGTTTTAGACTCACCACCATTGCAGCTACTCAACTCGGTTGCACTACCTGACTCAGTCCAACCATCTTTCTTCTTCAGCAATGGCTCCATACTAGAAAAGGGTGCTAACTTAAATGACTACCCTTTGTTTCTTATAACTGAAAAAAACATAAACAGAAACAAAGGATTGGGATTTAAAGGACGAGTCTTTGAGGTACAAGGAGAATACATTTGATGAGGAGGGAGGGTGTGAGAGTTAAAAGATTTGATTTTTGAACTGTGGGAGAGATGAAGAGATGTCACGTGTCATGGGATAACGTCTCTCTTTGAAAAAAAAAACGAAATAAAAAAAATATTTTTTATTGTTTGTTTCGAAGGAAAAAAAAAAGGCTTTCGCTTTCAGTTTTGTGAGTAGAGAATACGTTCAGAATAATCAATTGATAAAATCAGAAGAGGTGGGTCAGTGCAGCAGTACGCTGTCGTTTCGTCAGCAAGTTGGACTTTATAGGCCTAATCTCTATCCATCTGTTTTGAAAATCGGACCGGACCAGCCGGTTCAATTGGGAACCGTTATTTAGTCTAGTTTAATTTAAATCGGTTGAACTGCTATTAATGAACCGGTCAGAACCGTTGAACCGTTCGAACCGGACCGGCTGAAAATCGAAAAAAACGGGGAAAAACCAGGATTTTTATTTTTTTTTTAAAAAATTAAACCAAACAACGTCGTTTGTTAAACGAGCCAAGTCGAACTCGAGTATTGCTGAGTTCGACTCGAACTTAAAAACTTTAAAAGTAAGCTCAATTCAACTCAAACTCACAAGCTAAAAATTATCAAGTTAAACTCAAACTCGAAATATAATATTGAAACTTGAACTAAAAAATGCTTGAACTAAAAAAAAATTAGAAACTCGATTGAAGCCTAAAATTCGAGCTTGATTGAAGTGAAAGAATAGTTATATAATTACAGTTATATAATTTTGTTATGATTTTTTAACCCCAAATTTATTTTTTAATTATAGTTATATAATTATATTTATTATTTAATATGTTTTACCTTAAATATTATATTATAGTTAATTTGAATCATTTTGTTTCACTTGATTTTATGGTTTTTAACTTATATATGTTATGACTTGCTTTGAATATGACTTGTGATATAAAAAATTATTTTTTATTAAATATTTTTGGTATTTTTATTTAATTTTTTAAATAATTATGACGTCGTCCGGTTCTTCCGACCGGTCGAACCGATACGACCGGTTGAACCGGTAGCATGACCGGTTTGCTAACCGATCCGGTTCTGAAAACCATGAATTCTCAGGTTCTCAACTTGTGGGTTTACACTCCCTAAGTATGTAGACTTAATTCTACTAACCGATTTAATTTAATAGTTATAAGAATCGTTATTATTTCTAAAGATCATAAGTTCGAACGTCAACTATTAGAATAGGATGATTGCGTGTTTATTGTTAAATGATTAAGAGTATTTAGAACAGATACTACTTTATAATCACACTAACTTAATCAAAAATAGAGTAATTACATGTTTGGTACCTAAACTATTAATTTTGGTTTATTTTAGTACCTAAACTTTTAATTTTTTCAAAATCACACCTAAAGTTTAGTTTTTGTTTCATTTTAGCATCACACCGTTAAAAACTTTAGTTTTTGTTTCATTTTAGTACTTCGTTCAAACTTCAGCATTAAGTTTTGAAAATATTGAAAGTTTAGGTGCTTAAACGGGCCAAAATTGATAGTTTAGGTATTAAACGTGTTAAGTTTTTAATGACGGGTACTAAAATGAAATGAAAATTAAACATTAGGTATAATTTTGAAAAAAAATGAAAGTTTAAGTATTATAACGGACCGAAACTGATAGTTTACAGACTAAATGCGTAGTTTACCCTAAAAATAATTATCTCAACAACTCACAAATTTTGTTCAAATTGTAAATTGATTTATAAATTTCATAATATTTTAATTAAAATTTTAAAATAATATTATTATATTAATTGGTGTTGGTGAAATATTGTCCATAATTTATGTACAAAGGAACCAAAATTAAAGGAAATTTAAAGTGCAAGACCAGAGTGAAAAATTTTAAGAAAATATAGTAAAATAATTCGTATCAAATCCTTATAAATGACGATATTTTTTATACAAATGAATTAATTTTTAAGTCTTACAGGTTAAAAAATAACGAAGTTATAGGTTTAAATTATCAATAAAAAAGTTAAAAAAATTAAATTAAAGGTCAAAACTAGGGATGGGCATGGGACCCAAACCCGAAGGGTTCTGACCCCATCCGACCCGAACGGGTCAGTTTTTTTAATTGGATTCGGGTCGGATCGGATTCATGGTGAAAAATATTCAATCTGACCTGATAAAAATAATTTTACCTTATAGATTTAGGAATAATTATAATAACACCCATCTATATATTTTTTAATTAAATCATTATTTTTATTGGATAAAAATAATATTTTTTTCAGGTCGGGTCGGATCGGGTTTGAATTGTATCTCAAAAAGTCAGATCGGATTCGGGTCGGGTGGAGGGTATATAATTTTTCGGTTCGGGTCGGTTTGGCCGAAACCCGACCCATGCCCATCCCTAAAACATTATTTTTTAGACAAAAACGGTCATAATGTGCCTTCAATCCCTTATTAGCACGAAGATCTCGAAAGTTATGTGAATTAAAAAAAAAGGATAACCTACATCATATATCATCAAACTTTAGTTATCGTATCGTTTATATCACTGAATTTTTAATTTTGTCAATTATAGCATTAAACATTGATTTTTGTTTCAATTATACCATTGAATCGTTAAATCGTTAACGGCACGATGATGTAGCTGACGACTGCTGACATAGCTGATGGCTTTCAACGTAAACACCTCAGCAAAACGACATCGTTTCAATCTGGTTGTTGACGATTTAACGGCCCGGTGGTATAATTGAAACAAAAAATCAAATTTCAATGTTATAATTGACAAAATTGAAAGTTTAGTTATACTAACGATACAACACCTAAAGTTCGGTGCTATCTATTGTAATTTACCCTGAAAGGATTATCTAAGTCGAACACCCGAACACAAAGTTATAGGTTTTAAAGGTTTTACACTGTACTTATAGTTAAAACACCAAATTTTTAATTTCTAAACCCACCGTTTAACTCAAAAGGCTAATTTCTAAAAATTATGTTTTAGTCTTATACTTTTATTTTTCTTATACTTTGATCACAAAACTTTTTATTCAATTTTCCCCTTAAATAGATTTGTAACTTGGCAAAAAGGCTTAAGAGGTTCTTGTACTTGGGGGGGGGAATCGATGTGACCATCGTATTATTTTTCTCTCAATCTGACCCTTCAACTCATAAAACAATCCCAATGTGGCCCTTTGATCAACGTTTTTGTTGCTTCACCGTTACGATGTTAAAGTGGCATTTCATCTGTCATGTTTGAGTTATCAATTTAGCCCATCTACCATGGTATCCGTCACATTATCAACCATCGTGGACTAACACGTCAACACTGTTGACAGCCACGTTAGCACCGTGAACTGTTACGTCGGCACTGTAACGGTCAACGACGCAAAATGTCAGTCAAAGGATCACATTGGGTTTATTTTCTGAGTTAGAGGACAACATTGAGAGAGGAAATAATACGAGGGTCGCGTTAATTTTTTTTAAAAGTACTAGGACCTCTTGTGCCTTTTTGCAGCCTTTTTGAAGTAGGTATAAATATCTACAATTTGATCCATCATTTTTAACATTATTGGTCCTTCTTCATGTGCTTAATTAAGAAGTTAAATATACTTGAAACTAGAAATAAGTAGCTTTTAAGGGGGAATTAATGTAAATAGTTGGGTTAGGTTATAGTTGAGTTGTAAGTTTTAAAGGTGGTTAATTATTTGTTCAATGCAGCCCATGTTTTCTCCATTTTTTCCCCATAAAACCCAGCTTGCCTCTATCTCAATGCCAACCACTCAAAAGGGTAAATTGTTAAATAAATCCAATTAAATAAAATTAATTTTTAACTGTAATTATTTATTAATACAAATAAAATCGAATTATTATTCTAATAAATAAGTGTATATATTTTTATATTTTATATTTTATATTTTATATTTTTATTGAGGCCTACTTTCAAAACTTTGGTTCATTTAATGAATGTTCTTGTCTTATTACCAATTTCATCGCATCTGAACTTTAGACGTTGTACCGTTTATATTATTGAACTTTCAATTTTGTCAATTATAGCACTGAGTTTTAATTTTCGTTTCAATTATACCACTGGGTTGTTAAATCGTTAACATCCAGATCAAAACGACGTTGTTTTAGTGAGATGTCTATGACGACAGCCGTCAACCACATCATTGTGCAATTAATTATTTAACGGTTCAGTGATATAATTGAAACAAAATTCAAACTTTAGTGCTATAATTGACAAAATTGAAAGTTCAATGGTATAAGCGATACAACGTCTAAAGTTTGGTGGTATCTAATGTAGTTTACCCTTAATAATAATAGCTAGTTTTTTAGAATAAAAAAGAAATACAATAAAATTATAAGAAGAATTTATAAAATTAGAGTATATTAAATTATTTTAATCGACTAATTTTTCTAAAATCATTAAAATACATAAATCAAATTGAACCAAACAATTAAGAAAATTAAGAAATACAAATAAACGTCGTTAACGATGATGAAAGATAAATATCATCAACATTAACATAAAAATTCATATAATAATGATAATACGTTGACAAACATACTTTATGACAACTTAACTACGATATACCTTAAATGATTGTGAATATTTGTCAATAAAAAAGAACCATTTTGACATTTCAAAGCATAGATGAATTAGTTATGTTATCAAATAAATATCAATCGGAGACATGATATTAAATTTCATATTAAAAAATACATTACAATAACATACAAAAACTCATCAAGTGGTGTCAGTGGTAAAAAGAAATGTTGATTTTCTTAAATAGTCTTAATTCGAGCAACATCGTCTGTAGAGTATGTGTACGTTGTTAATTGGTTAAGAAATTTTGAACAGATACTACTTTATAATCATTCAAACTATTCAATATATATATTACAAAAAAGCAATAAAACTGAAGGTAAACTACTCATTTAGTACCTAAATTGTTAACTTTTAGTCTGTTTTAGTACTTGAACTTTTAATTTTTTGAAACGTATACCTAACATTTAGTTTTCATTTCAATTTAGTATCCACTGTTGAAAATTTAACGAGTTTAGTACCTAAACTATCAGTTTGATCCGTTTTAGTACCTAAACTTTCAATCTTTTTAAAATTTAACGTTAAATTTTGAACGAGTACACTAAAACGAAACAAAACTAAAATTTTTAATGGCGGGTTACTAAAATAAAATAAAAGCTAAACTTTAGGTATTATTTTAAAAAATTGAAAGTTTAAATACTGAAACGAGATAAAATTGATAGTTTAGGTATTAAATACGTAATTTACCCTAAGCTAAAAGTTACATCCATTTATTACCGTTAATTAACACTGATTTTTGAATTATAATATAGCCGTTTTGGGTGGAGGAAAAGACAAACTACTTTTGCCTTTTTGGATGTCGTTTAGCGTGACTGTTCTTTTATCTACTACTTTGACCTTTTCTTGTTGTTTGAAAATAAAAATGATCCCTTTGTTACTTTTTGGTCAGAATTTTGCATGAAAACGGGAAATGATTACGTACCACATTCGATTAAAAAAAGTGTTACCGATTTTATTATTATTTAAATAATAAAACTGATAAAAAAATTATCGAAAATATTATTATTTTTACTGTTTTTATTATTTTTTTATAGATTTTGTTATTATTTGACACTTTACCGAAAATATTAAAAAACATTAATAGTTTAAGTAGAAATAATAATATTTTAGATAATTTTTTACCGATTTTATTATTTAAATAATAATAAAACCGATAACACTTTTTTAATTGTATATTAAGGGTATCGCATTGTAGAACTTCCCCTAAAACCTAGGAATTGTTTAACCACGTGAAATGTAAAAGTAGATAGATAGTTTTTAGGTGAAAAAGTGATCAAATTTGAAATGTCCAACCGTTACTATATTCATATCATTTCTAAATCATTTACAGCGTACATATATTCTGTAAACGTAACTATTCGAATTCGAATCTTTTAGAGAAAACAACATTCTTTATTATCATTGAGACCACTCGATAGGTTCATATTCGATTTCAATATCTGATTCAATTGTATTGAAAGGTATGCATTTTGACCAACATTTGTTGCCCATATTATGTTGCATGTATTTCATACATGTATTTGCACATAATTTCATATAGTTGTCATCTTTAGCTTCATTTATATGGTTATTGAGTTTCATTGATATTTGATTGGCAAATATTCAAGCTAAGGTCCCTACCTCCAACTAATCTCAATCAAGCTTATGACCCCCACAATTCAAAATTATGAAACTGGTAGTTGGATGGGGTCCACCCTCTTTCATGTATCAAGTGTTAGCTTCTTAAGCAACCCTAATTTAGGAACAGGAGAATATATATAAATATACGTACCGGGACGGAGTCAGGATTTTAGTTTAAGGGGACAAAGTATAATTAACTATACCTTATTAGCATGTATATTAGTTCATATGTGTACACATATGCATGTATGTATGTGTTCTAAAATTAGTACAAGTCTATAAAATGGTGCAAGTTGTATGTATTAGAGTGAATTAAAATGAAGTTTCTACAATCCACTAATTAGCATTGATAAGGGAAAGAGAAGGGGGTTTATGTTTTGAAATTGAAAAATAAAAAAAAATATTTTTCCACACTTCTTATTTCATTTGTATTCTAAAGGGGTTGTCGTGTTGAGTCGGGTTTTTAGATAAGATATTTTTTCCACTTTGATTCTTAAAGATTTTTTTGGTCTAAATCGTTATTTAAATACCATACATTAAATAGTTTAGTTCTTCAACACAAACATAAAAATAGATATAACGATAATGACACGTTAATATTTGATTGTATCATAATTCAAGCGTCACTCCTCTAGGATGATTTTGAGAGCTATCAGTGTGAGAAAATCAATATGATAGTTTAAATCAAGGATAAATCAACGAGATAATCAAATAAACGTCAACAGAAAATACGATATTAAATCTAACCCTAAAAAAGAAAACATACTACACGAGCATCCATAACATCCATTGTTTTCAAGAGAAAAAGGGAAATACATTTTAAACAAAATAACATCAAAATATGGATAAAAAAATGATCATCCAACTATTCATATGTTTCAAAATTGTCATTTTTCGTTAAAAATGACGATCATCTGAGCTAGACGTTAATATGATGACTAGGATATAATAGTCGTTTGTGATTCTAGGATAAGGTTTTATCCTATCCAGTCAGTAGGTTATCGTCTAGCTTAGATTGTCATCACTTTTAACAAAAAAAGGATGAGTTTGAAACATATAGATAGTCGGGTGATCATTTTGTAACTTTTGATAATCTAGGGACTCAACAAAACAACACCCTATAATCGGAGGACCATTTTTAATTTCTAATATTAGGGAGAATCAATAAAGCATCCTATAGTTGTGAGACATTTGTATACTTTACCCAATAAGTTAAAATCGCATTTACCCAAATTCAATCAAATTTTATTTTTATTTAATTATAATTAATTTTTATTATTTATAAAGTATAATAAGTATTATATATTTAAAATAGTAAAATTATTTTATCGGTTAATTTGAATCGAATACTAGAAAAACTCATTATGAAAAGATCCAACTTTTTATGTCGTTAATTAAAATAATAGTAACGTAGAGATTATCATTTGGGCAGTTCAAAAAGGGACATGGTGTGCTTATTTTTAGGTCCAAGAATTTGGGCCTTGTGCCCTTGAGGTCTAGATGCTTTTGCTCCTTTTAAATATCTAATGCATAATATTAAATATTATGTAAAAACAATTAAAATACAACCTAATTTGCACGAACCAAATAATCTCAATAATAAAAAATTATTTTTAATCTTTAAAATCTCAGGTTCATACACCAAGAATATCAAAGGTATGAGCGTTCAATATCAAATGGTTAAAAATTATCTTTGATCATTATTACCTTATACTTACTCAGATTAATAAAAAATATATATATGCACATTTATTATTTGTAATATTTATTTAAAATAAATAAAAGTATGTGACTTGATTTTTATATAATATTACTATAAAAGATCATTTATCTCTAAAAAATCTAATCCAGTCCTCTAAAATTGATGATGTGACGTATTTTATATTAAATATTTATCAAATTATTTTAAATTATGACCAAATTGATACAATATATTAATTGAGAAAATATAATGGTAAAGCCGTCCTCAAACGTCTTTGACGTATTTGTTATTAAATGTTCACTTTTTTCAATATTTATTATGAGGGGCCTATTTTTTAATATTTGTTATTAGGGATATGTTTTTAAAATTTATTTTCTTTTCTAATATTTATTTGTTATTATGAGCCTAATTTTTTTCAATACTTTTTATTAGAGGTCCATTTTTTTAATATTTTTTATTATATATATACTCTTAAATTTTACTTTTTTTAATATTTGGTACTAGAGACCTATTTTTTTCAATACTTCTTATCATGAAGTTGTCCTTAAATTTTTTTCAACACTTGTTATTAGGAACAATTACTTAAATAGCGGTCTGTAACCACAACATTGATCGTTATGCAATGATAACAACATCGTTTGAAATCGCAATATTCACAATCGTTATGTCCACAATAGCACTTCACAATCACGATACTCACAATGACCACAATATCATTCATTATATTCGTAATAGCGATAAACACAACACGATTAAAAACACAAATACAAATTGTAATTTAAATCCCTACTCATGGGCCTAATTTTTTTTCACCTAAGGATCACCAAAATCTTAAAAACCCTATATCTACTAACGGATAAAAATAACCCTTAAGCCAAAAATGAATGGACAGTTAAGTTGGAATATATATTATCAATTAGGTACATATTTTTAATAGGGTAATTAGGTATCAAATTTTTTAATAGTTTTAGGGTAATTTAGTATATATTTTTATTGGTACACCTGTTCTTACTTAGAAATTTAATGTTGAATTTGAATTTACCACGTATTATTATTTGAATAAATGATATTAAATTATAAGTATGAATGAATCAAATTTGTGTGATTAAAAAAATGTTAGATATATATTTTTTTAATAGTTTGAAGTGATTGTAAGACTTATTTCTACGAAATAAAATATTTTAGAATAAAAAAATTATTAAATATCAAAATTTATCATATTACGATTATTTCTACAAAATAAAAAAATTAAACATGTGATATTAAAATAATATCACAAAATAATTCTATAGTCGTGACGTTTTTAGTTAAAAAGTATTAGCCCTATATTTTGGGGACCTATAACATGTTAAAGACCACACTTGTAAATGGACGGATCTGAACAAATAAAATTGAAAAGATTGCTCTTATAATAAAATACTACAATAGTCGATCTTAATTAATTGATCAATTAATTAAATATCACCTATTAATAAAAAAAATAGATACACAATAGCAAAATAAATAAATATTTTCATAATAAATTTTATTTTATTTGATGCACTAATCGTACATTATGAATAAATTACAGGTATAGTACACTTTTAGGTGTCTAAACTATATATCAAATTGACTTTTGATGTTTAAAGATTTTTTCATTAAAAATAAACATCTAATGTTTCCTCGGATATATTTTTAGGTGTTTACCGTTAAAAAGAACAATTAAGTAACACGTGACACATTTATATATTTTTTTTATTTTTTCCAAAAAAAATAAAATGTTATGTAACTTTTTTTAATAAAAATCTGAACGTAAAACGTGTCACTTAACTATTTTTTAACGGTAGTCATATGAAAATGTAACAAATAAAATATTAAATACTTATTTTTAACAAAATATTCTTTAAACATTAAAAATTAATTTAAGGTATAATTTAAGTGCCTAAATGTATATTAAGCTTATATTATTTAATAATACTTCGTTTTCAAAGTTGGAATTTCCATTTCTTGTGGTCCAATCAAATTCTGCCGCGGTTTACTGTTCCCTGCAAAATCGTTTCGGGGAAAAAGAAAACAGATTGTTTGTTGTTTTCCTCAGGCAAACGAAACCCAACAACGATCAGTCTTTTTCCTTCTCCAAAGGTATTTCCTTATCTTTTTCAAAGTTCAGCTTTTTATCCAGATTTTTTCATGTTTTATATGAGAATTTAATAATTTAATTACGTCTTCGTTTGACTTTCTTGAAACCCATTGATTCTCTTCCTTTTTCCCAATCTTTTTAAGCTGTTTTTCCCTTGAATTAATTTGCCAGCCAATCAATTTAGTGCCCAGATTGTGTATAGGTTCAAAAAGGTTGAATTTTGATTCAAAGTTTGCTAGTTTTGACCAAATTTGTGGTGTTTGTAGAGAAAATTTCCCTTTGAAATTCATAAATTTGACCAAATTTATGTTTTCTGCAGTGGAAAGAAAGTGTGGGGAGGAAGAAGAATTGATGGTTAAGGTTGTTGTAACTAATTAAATAAATGCTCTGAGTGGTATTATTTTGTGATTTAATCAAGAGAGGCATCACCTGATGTGGCCTTTATATTTTCTGTTGCATAAGATTCTTAAAACAGATGAAGATGATGATGAAGGATATGATGAGGAATGCATGAATGTGGCAGCGCGGTTCGGCCATTTTGAGCTTTCGTCTGGTAATAGGATTAGCCACGACGGGGCGATGTTGCACCGATCGCATTTCGTTCAAGTGAGTGGAATTAATGGGGTATTTTGTTTTGCCTTGTGTGTCAAGTTTATTTTGCATATGGTTTAATGGATAGGGTTTGTAAAGCTGTCTTTGTGATTTGTAGGTTTCACTTGTAAACCAATTGTTCTCTTGGGATTGTGGACTTGCTTGTGTTTCGATGGCTTTGACTACTGTCGGTGTCGATGATTGCGGTATCGAGAATTTGGCTGAGCTTTGCTGCACAACTAGGTATGTTGTTACGTGGTGTCGATGTTGGCAAAGTTCCATCTGTTACCATTTTATTTCTGATGAATATTGTTGTTTACGTTTTGAATGCAGCATTTGGACTGTAGATCTGGCTTACTTGCTGCAGAGGTTTTCGGTTAGATTTTTCTATTATACCGTAACATTTGGAGCCAACCCGAACTACTCTGACGAGACGTATTATAAGGTAATTTATCTTTGCACCTTATGCACTTTTGTAATCAGTTTGTGCCAGTTCTAAGGGCTTTTCGATTGGTGGTGAATTCGCAAACAATTCCGTGTTAGCATTCTCTTATGATGTACATTGTATAGGTTAATCAATATTCTTGCTTTATTAACTGCTTAAATTTCCATTATGTGATTTTCCATTAACTTTGAGTATTCTTCAGGAGCAACTGCCTACTGATCTGGTTCGAGTTGATTCGCTATTCAAAAAGGCCGTGGAAGCAGGAATCGATATAGGGGTATTCACTGGAACATTAAATCCTGACTGCATTTTGATCGATGTAGTGATAGATTTTTCCTTCGAAATGTTAACAGCCTGCGGTTTGATTCCATATGAAAGAATAAAAACGATTGGATTGGATTCTTTCATTTCATATTTATGGTTCGGTTTTTTCGAACTCTGTTGAATGCTTAATTTGAAGATATGACCCTTGTTGCCGATGAAAATTTTAGCTCGTTTTACCGTCCTTTTCTGTGTCACGATTAAACTTTTTCTTGGGGTAATGAACTGTCCCCATTTTACAGTGCAGGTCAATCAGTGGCGAAGAACTCTCTCGCTGGATCTTGTCGGGGAAGTATATAGCAATTGCTTTAGTTGATCAGTATAAATTGAGGTATGTATTCTCTGTTAATCATTATTGTACAAACTTCCGCTGTATTTTTCGTACATCCGGTGTTTCGTATTTTAGCCGGTATCACAAGAGTTAGGTTCTTGCATGATAGTGATTTCTTATATAGTGATGATATCGTAGTGCTGAATTCTTCTGTCAAAATCTTGCATTGCAGTCAGTCTTGGATGGAGGATGTCATCATCCATGGAGTTCACGGAAACGATGTAGAATACACTGGTGAGTGTTGCATGCTTTTATAACGTCGTTTTCCGTATACAAGTTGGAAATACGAATCCGAATGCTAACATGAGAATACGTATCATTCTGATAATTGTATTATGCTGGTGTTGATTGGATAATTTGACCATGGCATTTGCATAGCTCTCCCTTGCTTTGTACATTGTCACAAGCTTTACGATCGTTCTACGTGGGGTCTAGCTGTTAAGGGATTCGCTCTTTGTAGGTCACTATGTCGTGATATGCGGCTACGATGCTGAGACAGACGAGTTTGAGATTCGAGATCCTGCAAGTTCTAGGTACTACTACCCCTATGCTATGTCATGTAATCCACAGGTTGACAAAATTCATTTCGTTTTCTGTTAGAACCATAAACTCGAGAACGACAATGTGCAGGAAACACGAGAGGGTCTTGTCGAAGCGTCTCGAAGAAGCACGCAAGTCCTTCGGGACAGACGAAGATCTTCTTCTGGTAATCTATCAAACTTCACATGAGAAGCAAAAGTCTTAGACAATCATCATTCATCACATGTTTGAGCATGCTATATTACCATGCAGATATCCCTCGAGGAGAGCCGGAGACCGAACTACTCCGTCGTATAAATTCCGACACTTCATGTTTATGTCATAATCCGTGCGAGTGACGTACGCACCCGACGCTGTTCGTGTAACTGTTCATCGACCTCTCACCATGTTCCACACTGCACATGTTTCTAGCTTAATGAATTGTTGGTAATCTGCAAATTGCAGGCATTTGTAAAACAATGCATTCATTTTCTACTTGATTTGTAAATCACTTATAATAATTTATTATATTAATATTTATAAATATAGTTTTATATAAAATATTTATTGTACGAATTTATAAGAGTATAATAATAGTTTTATTCGTACAAATATCACTTTATATAATTTCTTTATATTAATAATTTTGTAATAATTTATTCATACTTGTTTTTATATATAAAAAAACTTATATTAATTGTCTACGATAATGGTATTTATAATAATTTATGTATAAAATATATAGAACTATCTACGCTAACATGAAATTTTCAAAGATTGATGACGTTATAAAAGTAGATGAACATAATCACGTTAAATTAAAGTAAATTGAGAAAATCACAAAGTTGATAAAAATAGAGGGACCAAAACTATAATTTAACCATAAATTAAAGATAATTGATGTAATTAAATTTAGGGTAAAGTACACAAATGATGTCCTGACTATAGGGTACTACTTAATTAAGTTCATCTACTATTAAAATTTATAAATCCTCCAAATTATATAGTGTTGCTTTGTTGAATCCCTCGATTATTAAAAGTTACATAATGGTCACCCGACTATTCATTATGTTCCAAACTCGTCATTTTCTGTTAAAAAATGTCGATATTTTGAGCTGAACATTAACCTGTTGATTGTGATATGATAAAAATTTGATCCCAAAATCTCAAACGACTATCATATATCAGTCATCGTGTTAACGTCTAGCTTAGACAACTGCCAATTTTTTAATGTAAAAGGACGAGTTTGGAACATAATTAATAATCGGGCGACCATTTTGTAACTTTTAATAGTTGAGGGACTTAAAAAACAACATTCTATAGTCAGAGAACCATGTTGTAACTTTTAATAGTCGAAGAACTTAAAAAACAATACCATATAATCGGGGATCATTTGTGTCTTTAAAACGAGATTGAAAAACATTTGAATGAGGATGAGTGCGCTTATACCTGAAAAAATACTCCATCGGGTTGGTTTTTTTTAATTGGGTTCGGGTTCGGATTGGTTTTTTAAAAAGTGATGCTCGAGTCGGGTCGGATTCGGGTTTAGGGTGAAAAATATCCAACCAGACCTAGAAAAAAATATAATTTTACCTTATATATTTAGGAATAATTACAAAAAACCTCTATATATATTATTTTTTCAATTAAATCATTGTTTTTATTAAATAAAAATAATATTTTATTATTATTTCGGATCAGATCGAATCAGGTTCGAATTTTATCTCAAAAAATCGGGTCGGATTCGGATCGAGTGGATGTTATATATTTTTCAGGTCGGGTCTGGTTGGCCGAAACCCGACCCATGCTCATCCCTATTCCTATCCACACTTTTGAGACCAAACCCTTGTATATTTATCAAACTAAAACAAATGACTTTGGACATGTCTTTGCATAATTGAATCTTAAATGCCAAAATTTAGGCATTGAAGCATCTATCTAAATATACTTATCAAAGTGGAAGACGGTAACGATCTTACAGCGACGACCACAACAATGATATTTATGAACATAAAAAATAAAAATGATAATAAAAAAAGCATTGTTCGATATTCAGATGTATAGATTTAAATTGTATTCATATAAATTTTTTAATAATTAAAAAAAAATGGCTGTCCCTTTTTCCCATATTATTAGATTGATAATCAAAATATATTTAAAATATACAATAAATTTGAACTTGATTTCACACATAATAATTAAACCTTTGTTGATGGTAAAAGAGAGTGGTGAGTTGAATACGACGAATAATGTGAGACCGATAGAAAAAGAATTTAGGATCTCTTTTTCTAGTCATGCATGTTGACTCTTATATTGACTCTTAGCGTTGGTGTTAGGTCTAATGTCATGATGAGTATTCGTACATTGGCAGGACAAATAGATATAACCGTCTAATAGGATATTTGACTTCGATTGATCACGTTGGTTTGCTAGAGATCATGTCCAAGAATTATGATCGATCAGATGATATGAACATATTGTTACAAGTTCCATGCATAATTCCAAGAAAACGACATTTAATTTAAATTTAAACCTATTAATTCGTACGGATATTCGAAAAATCACTTGTGATTTCGAAATCTTGTAGGAACCCAAAGTTTAAAATCCTATGTGTTGCTTATGTTCTTTTCGTTATAAAGGTCAAATTATGATTTTTGTCCCTCTATTCTGTTTAAATTCAGAAGCTAGTCCTTTTACTTTAATTTAATTATAGGCTTAAGGTTCACTTTTTCCTCTATAGTTGACCCAATTTATCATTTTCGCCCCTATCGTATCTTCCAATCAATTTAACCCTCAAACTTGTTTAATTTCATCGTTCTGTACCCCAACACTAGCTTAAAATCCTAAATCCTAAATCATAATCCATTAACCTTAAACTCTGACTTAAAACCCTAAATAATAGTAAATATTTTAAGCGTTGATGCAATTGAGCTGCTTCAATGACTAAATTAATGCGAAAATACGATAGGGGCAAAAATGATAAATTGGATCTACTACAGTGGCAGAAATGACTCTTAAACCCTAATTATATTTATATATGCATGGATGATGTACAGATTGTTTAAGGATTGAACTTAGGATCAAATGCAAACTAATTCTTCTAATCTAAATTTGTTCTCGTTTAAGTTTCATCGTGTGTGGATTTATTAATTGATCTCAGTGATAGAAAGAAGTATTAATCTTCTTAGAGATCTCGATTTCAAACAACTATGTCTACATAGCATATGTGCGTTATTAATGACTAAAAAGGATCTTCTAAACATGTATTATCTTGTAATCACCCTAGATTATTCCAAAAAAAGTTTCACCGTGTGTGCATTTTGTTCGACTTTATTATAATTTACATTTAAATATATTTTCAGTTATTAATTTTATCATGTATCATAATGATTTTTAGTCATGGATGGACTAAGGAGGATGGGTTGGGGAAGTCTATATATTTTAGATTTTTTCTACGTATTTTCTATTGAAATTTTTTTTCGCCCCCTAAAATTTTATAAGTTCAAGTTTTCCCCTAGAAATTTTAAAAGTTCAAGTTCGCCCCCTAACATTAAATCATGCGTTCCGTCCCCGATTTTAGTTATAGTTATTCGAATGTGTTGTTTACAATTTCAACTGTGAGTATTCTTGGAACTGTGCTTGCAACTTGTCAAAAAAGTATAGGGACTAAATCTGGAGTTTGAGTATTCTTGGAACTGTGCTTGCAACTTGTCTTAGGTTGCTCCAAACAGCAGACACATGGAACACTTGTTCATGTTTTTTTCTTCCATCTTCCATTGCCATTTTTCTTACCGGATGTTTCATGAAAGCATGTGGATTCATCGCAAAAAGACGTTTCACAAACGTAAAATTATTGAGTTCGATTCGAATCACATTAATTTTTTCATAAAATTTTGAGTAAAATACACAGAATGTCTTATTCAAGTAGTATTTCTTGAACATTGAACGATTTAAGTTATATAAGAGAATAATACTTTTTCTAGAGATTTTAGGTTCGGTAGTTGCTACATGGTAGGTTTACGTTGTAAAAAGTTAATAATATTTTGAGCATATACTATCTTATTAACAATCGAGCATAATTTAGTAATGGGTAAATTATGTGTTTAGTACCTAAATTATCAGTTTTAATCCATTTTAGTACCTAAACTTTCAAATTTTTAAAACCACACCTAACGTTTAGTTTTCATTTCATTTTAATACCTCGCTGTTAAAAACTTAACGCGTTTAGTACCTAAAATATCAGTTTTGGTTCATTTTAGTATATAAACTTTCAATTTTTTTAAAACTTTGCGTTAAATTTTGAAGGGGTGTACTAAAATGAAACAAAAACTAAACTTTAGATATGATTTAAAAAAAAAATTGAAAGTTTAGGTAATAAAACGGACTAAAATTAATAGTTTAGATACTAAATATATAGTTTATTCTTTAATAATTACCGGTGCATTTTTTCTCTAAAGACATGTTCTTTAAAAAATCATTCTTTATTTTCTATTTATTTTTAAGTATTTTTTTAGGATTAAAGATTGAAGTCCAAATTCAGTGTAAACAATCTCAAGAAATAAAATAAAATTCTTTGGATCCAAATTTTGTTATTATTTTAGGTGGTTGATTGAGTAAATAAAAATACAAATCAATAAAATAAATAAATAGTTATAATGAATTTTTTGTGTGATCTAAAATGCCAATTGGTAGGTGATGTGATGACAGCTTTGGATACATGTCTATCATGATTATTTGATTATGGAGTGTTGCTTTGTTAAGTACTTCGACTATTAAAAGTTAGAAAAATGGTCACTCGACTATTCATTATGTTTTTTTGGCTCGTCCTTTTTTGTTAAAAAAATTGCGGTTGTTTAAGTTAGACGTTAATATGACGACTGATATATGATAGTCGTTTGAGCTTTTTGGATCAAATTTTATCATAACACAATCAACAAGTTAACGTTCAGCTCAAAATATCATCCATTTTTAACAAAAAAAATGGCGAATTTATAACATAATAAATAGTTGGGTGACCATTTTATATTTTTTTAATAGTTGAAGGGCTCAACAAAGCAACACTCTATAATCGAAGGATCATTTTATAACTTTTAACAGTCGAGGGACTTAATAAAGCAATACCCTATAGTCGGGATCATTTACGTCTTTTACCATTTTTTTAAAATATTTTAAGATCAATTAATTTTAGATTTGCATCATTCTAATTTAACGTTTTGTTTTTCTTGGATCATGTCATCTTGAATCATATTTTCCATGCTGAAGGTTTATATTTTTCCATATCGAATTATTTCGAGTTCATGTTATTTTGGTTCTAGATCATTTTCGAGTTCATGTCGATATTAGCACATATCACCTCAACAATATGTATAAATGTTAGTTAACTAACGATTTTTAAATAACACGAGTTATTTTAACTACTAAAATAATGAAGGTTAAAGAACTTTAAAAAAAGAGAGATTAAAATAAATATTC